AGGAGTAGAATTTTAAATTTAACAAAGGTGGTTGTATTTATGTAGGGTAAATTGAAGACTCGATTTCATAATATCATTGCCTTTTACTGCTTTTTTGATAGATCCCATTTTCAGGTTGCTAGGCATTTCAAAAAACACAAAATATGGTTAGATGTGTTTTGGGAGATATAATTCCCATATTAAACACATGGGATTGAAAAGGGGATGATGAGTACTCCCGTACAATGTGAATTTCAATAAAGATGACAAGAGCCTCCCTGGAAGGCAGCCACATGCAAGTACGGTTATATGCATCATTTTGACAATAAGCTTGCTCCCAGCAGGTTATCGTGATGAAAAAGGCTGCTCAGATATTAATAATGAGAAAGGGCACTGTAGCAATGAGTACCAGAGAGACTCACCATTCACACCTTCAAGTGCAGCTACCTTAACTTCCTTCCAGGGTCAGTGAAAAGCAATCAGCAAACCACCTCAGTGGTCCTGCATAGCCTATGGAGGGATTCCAGCAATCCCTAAAATTAAGTGAGTGAGGGAGACCGCAAGCAGCAGTGTTTAGGGTTGCAGATACACTACTCTGGTTGCAGAGACTACTGGAGCGTAGTGGCCCCTGTGTGCCTGGTCAGAGGAAGTAGCATGTTGGAAGTAGCACCACACATCATTAAGATTTTGGACATTATATTCTCCTTAGCCATATGCCCTGCACCCATTTCAGCACACTTTTGTTTGTGTAGTTCTTAAGACTTGCACAATGCTCAGTTATCCTTGAATACCTATGCTAAAGGAATTTTGTTTTCTGCAAAAGCCTCTGCTCTAGAGCCTTGTGCCAGTGTTATCCTCTATCCCTAACTCCTACTGATAAGAGAGTAGTGATGGTTCCAAAATGTGCTGTCATTAATCTGATTCATCAAATACCTTGAAATAATTTTTATGTAATTAAATAATAACAGAAACTGCCATTAGTAATAGTAATACTATTGTCTCTGACAGGATTAGTTTTCAAAAAGCTTTATGAGATCATTGTTAAACCTCTTTTAGAGACTGGGAAACGAAGCACAAAATCATTAACTACCTTGCTTAATACTGCAGATCACAGTGTCAGCCAGAACAGGGGTTGGCTTCAAGAAACTAATACTGATTTAAAAAGTAAGCTGGATACTTTAAATCCAGCTACCTAAGCACCATGAGGAGGATCTGCAAGTTTACAAAAGCTAGACTAAACATGAACAAAATTTTTATTTTCTTGAGGAGTCATGTTCCCAAGCTTTCCTCCTATGACTACAAAGTCTGAAACCCAACTGTTAGTTCCTTACACTACATCTACTAAAAAACAAAAAATAATAAAAAATAATAAAAAAAATTCAATCACATGATCAGAGACTTATCAGAAAAGCAAATACCTATAGAAAAAAACCCAAACCAAACCAAACCAAAAAAAAAACCGAAAAAGCCAACAATATCAGGGCAGCCCTTTAACAAAAACTGCTGGCAACTAGAGTGCCAGAAAGGCACTGAAGACAGGGAAGTTAGTTCTGGGAAAAAGCATTTTTAAAGTTTGTCTTTGTAGATGTGAAATAAAGAAGTTCTCAGTAAAAAGACTGGTAACACAATATATTGTGTTACCTAGTGCCGAAACAAAGTCTCATGTTTGTAGAAAGTCTTACACGCATGAACTGTGATTTCCTTTCTCTGCCTATTATCTTCTGAGAGTAGACGTAATTTTCAGTAATGCTATGAATGAATACTCTGCATCCATTCCCACATGGTGCTCTCAAAAGGAAAACTTGATGCTCAAAACTTGTCTCTCCACTCCTGCTTTCAATGGTACAGATTTTCAGCTGTTGCACACTGACATAACCCTGTTAATATCAATTCATATGAGCTGATAATTCCATCAAAAAACTAATTACACTTATCCTAAAATGGGACTATATTGTTCTAGACCTCCAAATCTCCCAGGAGCTGACAGGCCACCATAAAAGCAAGGGTTATAAACTTGAATTTATAATAGGCAAATAAAGCTTTGGCCTATGAATTCTCAGCCTATTAAGTTAATGAGCCTTGAAAAAACAATAACCTGAGGAGCAGCTGACAAATTATCTGGAGCAGCAATTTGAAAGGTGTTGGCTGGCTTACAAGCATTTCAGTTGGGAGAACATGGCATCATGTTCCTCTTCCTCTGGAAGAGTCATTTGTCAAACTAAATTTCTTGCAAATCAACAGTAGATTCTCAATATTGGAGCACTGAGATACAACAATAACTGCAGCTACCAAAAAAAGAAAATAATCCCTGTCCCTACCTCCCCAAACCTGAGGCTGACAAATGCTGATGAAACTCCTTCTAGGATGTCTGCAGGAAGACAGAGAGATACCTTTTTATTTCTGACTGGAGATCTTCTAAGTGTTTAATATGGAGGAAAAGAGCTTTGAGGAACTCAGATGTGGAAAGGGAGACCTTTCAAAATACCTGGTCAATATTTGGAAGATTTTTTTTTTTTTAGTACACCTTCCAATAGAGATGATGGTATCACAGCTGTGGATTTAAAACAAAGTCTTTGATGGGATTAATTCTTCAAAATACTCAACACAATACAGCCCTGAGACACAACGCCTTTGTGAAATTTAGGGCTGTGTACACTGGACAATTTTGCAAAAACAGCCACTTGGATTACAGTTAAAATGACATCAATACTTTTCTAAAATCTGTTCTCCAACTGTGAATACTGAATCCATTTGGAAATTGAATCATGATACATTGTAAAGCTGTCACTTTCCTCAACAAAGGCATTTGGTGAAATAATATTTCAAATGTCTTCCTCCATGCTTAACTATTCATAGGTCTGTAGAAAAGATGACAGTATTGAGAACATGGAAAACTCTCATATTTTCTATCTGAATGTTATTTCACAGTGGGAAGGAAGTACGAATTATAGTAATCAGTTGCCTCTACCACAGCATGTAGCAGAGCACAGTGCAGAGCATTTAGCCATGCGTTGTGTTCTTTCCCGCATTTTGTGTTCTTCTTGCAATTTTTGTTGGACTGTTGATTTAGACAAACTGATTAAATATACAGGGACTAGAGTTTAATATTACATCAAAGTAGAATGAAGATAAATGAAACCTTGTTCTTTAAGAGAATTGTTAACTGACACTCAGTAGAACAATACCCAGCTTTCTAAGTCCCAATGTTAGGTCATCAAATATCTGATGACCAAGTATTCAATCAATCAACAATAAAGCAAAAGGATATACAGAATTATACCTTCAGGTGGCAAAACAGCCTAGTGCTATGAGCATTCCAGGGCTCCACTGATTATTGACATCTAAGTATGTGATTGCAGGAATAAGCCCTAACATACTCATCCTTCTCCCCTAACCTATCTCCATAGTTGTGATAGTTATGTCTATACAGATAAACCATTCAGCAGTGAATTGGCTCTCTCTATGGTTAGCAGGCCAAAAAAATTCTGTGGCCCCAAAATCCCCTAGAATCTGCTCATTCAACTTTCTAGTTCAAGTTGGACCCTTCCCTTCTAAAGGGACCATTTTAAGAGTCTTTCTGTAATGAACTCTTCCATTTTTTCATTCTAAACACACAACAGCACTGTGATGCACAAATAAATTACTCATATGCCACTGTACATTGTACCTAAAGACCTGGAGTAATTTTACAACTTTTTGCCCAGTTATTCCATTTAAGGTAATATTTGCAGAGAAATTATATTATTGTGGGCAGATCTGTTAGTTCCTGGCAGTCTTGTGCAAATATTTGTATCTTTTTATAACATTGTAATAATCAATGTATTTCTCTCAAACTTGTACTGGCCTGAACAGCTTGACTTATTACTTTGACCAGTGATGAAGTATCTTTTATAAATTCTAGAAGCTACAGAGTTTTCATTCTAATAAACTGACAGCCTCTGCATGGTCTTGCCACATCTGTCACATTCTTCACTAGTATTTGTCTTATTGCTTTCTTAATGGAGCTTTCTATTTTATAGCATTGAAATGTCTTTCACAGCTGTTTTCCTAATCCCTGGGGTTTCTTTCCTGCTACTGTATCTTACATTAGTTTACCATTTTACTTTCCACTTACACACTTCTGCTCTTCTCTTCCCACATTACTCTTTGCTTTAAAAATTGTCTTCTGTAGAAAATATCTATGATCAAATCTCCAAACACAATTATTTTTCGTCTCCTCTAGAATATAAAAGATGATAGTTTTTTTCCTAACAAACTAAATAATCTTGAAAACTTGTGCCTAAATCTTCCTCTATCTCCCAAATATTAGTTGCAAATAGTTACTACAATCATCGTAGACTATAGAAGATTACCTGGGTTATACAAGCATACAGTTTTGGATAGTATGCTTTTCTTCATTAAATATGTATGAGGAGGCATTCCCTGACAAATTTTATAGGAAGGTCTTCCATTATTTCAGTTATGGAAATGTTCATCGTTTTAGGTTTTACTAACTGTCCTCTCAGAGGACGGCTAGCCTCATAAATGCTAAATTTTAGATGCATTCTTAACCCTGATTTGGTGAGGAAGGTGATTATTTTTTGCTCAATTTCTTCTGAATGGCTTAGGCAGCCACCCTATAAACCCAAAGATGCTCAGTAAATTAGGTATGCACGAAACAGAAATAAAGTGACTGAATCAAAACAAATTACTATAGCTTTCAGTGAAGTCTTAGTCACTTTCCATACTCACAGAGAAGCAAACACTGAATTCAGTTGTAAAATGTGATACATATTATGTAACCTATTTTAGAGCACCATTCCAATGGATCAAAACATTGCCTATGTTCATCACTGGATTTGGATGACCAAAATCATATACCAAGGCAGCATATATCTTCCAGTGATACAGATGTGAAAGCATGGTTAAAAATAAGCACAAGCTGTAGAAAAAGATCTATGGTGAAGATGCAAACTATGAGATAAATCCAGTGATGTTCATGCACTCTAACAAAGGAGGTGAGGAAGAAGCGCATGCAGTACCTGGTGATCTCAGAGTCAGGGAGCAGGCCTACGTGGTAGTGGGGATAGGGAGCTGTAAGAAGGAAGCTTTTGTCACACTCGACAGGGGAATAGTGCCTAGGAGAAGGTGGTTTATCACACAGTTTGTTCACAGTGCTGTAAACAGGTTCAGGAGGCCTGGTGATACAGAGACAAGAGTAAAAGATCAGGTGCATATTAGTTGCTGAGAACATAGAGAAAACACAGTAATCATTTTAAAAGCATGCATAGCAAATCTGTAAAGACCTTCTCGGTGAGGATTTTCCAGCAAGTAAAGTGTATTGTTAAAGGAATTGTTAGAATTTGGTGAAAGTAGTATGGCATTCAAGTAACTGCATATAAAGATATACACAATATAAGTGGACCGTAAAACTGCTCTATGGGAAGTGTGGCACTAAAAGGAAATATATGTGAAGTGGAGAAAGTGAGGAATTTTCCCACATGCTCTGCTTTTTGCTATTTTTAAATCAAACAGCATTACTTTTATAGAGCTTTCTGTGATCTTAATTTTGAGTACAGCATAGAAGAAAATATGTTTATAACCTGAAAAGAAGTATTTTTTACCCATTACTTTATGATACAGATGAAGGGCATATTAATACAACATACTCCTGCCCCAGTGAGCTGGGGCTTTGCAAATAGAGTTGGGGTCAAATTGAGCCATATCCTGCAATAACACTGATGATAACAAACAGTGTGAGCAATTCATCTCATTGGCAGGCAATTTGTTGCGTTTCAAGAGTTCTTTGCTCTCTTTTCAGATTCAGCCTTCAAAATCTGATTATGCAGACCACATCTGAAACAGGTTACCTCGTTGACAAGGCCACTGCAGTCGCACTTGCAATGATGCTCGAAGTTACACAGCGGCTTGTGAAGTTAGATACAACAAATAAGACCCTGAAACTAAAACTTCTCTCCAGCCACCCATCTGGGAGAGGCAATACTTACCACAGCCCTCCCAGGAGCCGCCTGGGAGAGGGGAGAAGGGAACACAGCCTTTAGTACCAACCAGCCGGGAATCCAGCAGTTTAGAACCAACCAGGAGACATCCAGCAGTTTTCAAAAAAACCCACACCACATACATAGTACATTTCCCACCATGTAACTTGTCCAACTACTCTGTTTGCCCCATCAGATACGTCAGAGCCCACTGGCAGAGTGAACCCTGACTCATCATTTCCTGAGATTTCTGATCTTAAGAGTGCCAAGATGCATTTGCTGTCATATCCTTGCTTCTGCCAGAAGATCCACAGTATGCTACTGCCTTTAATCACTGTAACAGAGTATTAGCTAGATGGGAATCTTATTTCAGAAGCCTGAAAATAACACAAGGCCAAGAAGTTAATGAACTTTTTTTTTTTTTTCTGGCTGCACAGTGCCTCATATGGGTGTGGATTTTGCTGTGAATTTCACGGGTACCAGAATTTATTGCAGTCATAGATGTGCTGGCAGATACAGAGAACCTAATTTCCTTTGTTTTTAGCTTCTGGGTTTGTCCTCTGGGGGAAAAAAAGTAGCTGCTTCACTCAAAAATTAGTCTCATTCAATGTTAATAACATTATTCATAGCAATCTGACACATGATTTGAGCACTCTCTGTGCCTGACTTTCCCAGGGAAAACTTTCCAGTCAAAAAAATGGCAATTTAAGATCACCAAATAGCAAAATAGGAAAGCTGTCACTCATTTGGCTATAAAACATTCTGTCAAGCATTTAGTAAAATCCCTTTAAAAACATTAAAGGTTGAAATAATTTTTATCAGTGTATTTTACACCTGTTTCAGAGGGTTGGATTTAATAATTTATTTAATAAATCAATTGCTGCTTTCAGTATAAAAGAAAACAGAACAACCCCCCAAAATAAAATAAAAAAACAAAACAAAACAAAAAAAAACACCAAACAAAAAAACCAAACGACAAAAAATAAAATCCAGAGAAAAAACCCACTTCTATTTCACTTTTGTCCAACACTGTCTTTTATTCCCTCAGAAAAAACTTTTGTTTTAGGCAATATAAGACAGAAAAATTAAAAATATCAAATATAAATTATACCTACTAAGAAAATTAAAGAAATATTGCCCCACTGCAGGAAGATGAATAAAAACTGTAGATTTCTCCTTGGCTTAAAACACCAACCAGACCACAAACAACTTGTCAGCTTCCTATATCCGAGTTAGCTGCCTTCTCTGAGTTGTACATAACATAAGAGTGTTGCTACCCCTTGGATACAGCATGAATGCTCAAACTACACTGAGTCATCAGTGAGTGACAATCCAACCTTGGGCTGAGACAAGAATCACAACAGAGAGATGGAGAGATATGAGGGATTTCATTGTTAATTGACAGTTATAAGCTGCTTGCAAAAGCAAAATGAACTTAAACATTCAACATCTACCTAGATATTGAGACCAAATTAGTCCTTCAAATATAAACACAAAGTCCTTCTTGCTGGGTGGTAGGATAACAGGGAACTGGAACAAGTCACAGAACTGATTATAAAATCTTCTACTCATTGATATTATATAAGTGATACCATGACCTAGTTAACAGCATAACCCATATTTGAGCTGAAGAGAAAGGTCTTAAGATTAAGAAAATGAATTCATACTTCTTATCCTTTTAAAGCTTGGACTCTTTGTTGGACTCTTGGGTTAGAATAAGATTCAGGGTACCAGTTAATTCCAGTTAAAAGTGCACTTGCTGTAAGGCCTATGAAATGGCCTGAGATCACCATACCCACCTATTTTCCATTAGATGCCATGCTTTTCAAGGTCACTGAGATCACGTACTGCACTGATCCTTTAGTAGATCCCTTCACACTAATCAGATACCTTCACACTATTCAGATGAATATGCTAACAGCTATCAGCTGCATAGCTGGGCTCTGCCTGCATATTTTATTGGTACAGAAAAGCAAGAATCTGACACAACAAAAAGCAATATGCAACATCCAGGGTCCAGCTCAGATCAGTATAAAGTTATTTTCTCTCTCAACTGGGTTTAGTAAATATGAATTAAGTAGTTTAAAAATATTTGAAAGCTGGGATAAAAAATATAAAGAGGAAGAATGCATAAAACATATAGGACAGATCACTGTCCTGCTCATACAAATTGTGTTCCATGTAGATCACTAGTTACTTAAAGTAATATGAGATCCCTGCTGCAACAGCTTGTCTTTAAATATCCTCCTGATTCCTCCCCTTCTCTATGGCAAACTACAATAATAATAATTTTCTCTTGTCATTTATATTTCTCCTCACAGAAAGAAGAAAGAACTTTTTTCCAAAGGGATCAGCCCACCTGGTAAATCCTGTCTTGCACATCTTGTCTAGTGCTATGACAGAAACAGATTGTGTTCTCTCAAAGCATGGGATAATGAGAATGTTATTTAGAAAGAGTTTCTAATGTGCTATTCTGAAAAAATACAGTCAAGGACACCTCAACTTTTCTTGCAAAAATAATTAGGAGCCAGACTGAACATAAACACTGATGCCTTATTGTATGATACATTAATTCTCCAAATGAATTTAAAAACATGTAGCAGGTCATTTAGCATGCTTTAAGAAAAGTGTAAAGGGTAAATATAAGTTATTTAAGGACAGATTCACTGTAACTTATGTGTAATTGCATCACTTTCAGGTACAGCAGGTACAGCTTCAGAGGTTTTATTTAAAAATAAACACTAAGTGGTTTTTGTAATTTTTATTATAAGGAAGAACAAAAAAAAAAAAAAAATACTGCCGCAACTACTTCTTTAGCAGATCTGCTCCCTTTCTGCCTTTAAATTGTTTATTTAGTGACAAACATACATTATAGTTCTCTGTCTTTATCAGTGAGCTAAACCCCAAGTTTTGTGATAAATGAGAGAAGCAACTAGTAGGTCTAGATGTACAGCAATAATTATGTTAGCATGAGAATGAGGCATAAAATAGCAAAGGAAAGGCAACAGAAAATGTAAGTAGTAAAATAAGTAGCAGCATAGCATGGCTTGAACATGCCTCAGTAAATAGTTTAATTCATAGGACAGAGAATTGAGTCACTTAACACCAAAGGTAAGTTTTAAATGGTAGCATGAAGCTGGAATTATTCAGTACAGACCTAACAGCAATAAGGCACAATTCCCACAGAAAGGTGGAACTAATTGGTGGAAAAGCTAACAGTAACAGTGGGAGGTAGAAAACTGATCTGACACTGGTTTTATTTATTTATTTCATAACAGATTGTGTAAAGAAAGCAAATCTTCCTAGTTGTTTCTAGTCCTTATTATTCCTTGTTAAGATCATCACTGTGTTATTGTTTCAGGCTGACTTAATTGCACAACAGAAGTTATAAGAAAATGGAATTATTAAAAACCATTCTCTCCTCAGCACCATGCAGGGTCCTCAGTTTAAAATTAACTTTTTTTTAATTGCAGAATCCTGTTTGGAAGGCTTCAGTTGCCAACACATAGCACATTAAATGGTAATGGTTTCAGCTTTCAAAACATTTTAAAACCTTTTCTCATATGGAAAGAAACCAGCTAAACTCTCACAGCATATGAGTATGCAGGGCTATAGCCAGGAAACACTAAATTCTTCAATCTGAGAAAAAAAAGTCTTCCAATGCTACAAGTTTCCAACTTTTTTTTTTTTTTCCCCTAGAAGAATCACATGCCTTATTGTTCAGTAGGGTAAATTAGAACTGAAAGGTGATTTTATTCCATAGGTTGTGTCCTGGCAATTTAAAAGAGACCAAGAAACTGATATGACATGTTTATTTCATCTTGATGAAACACAGAAAAGGAATGTGAAGAGCTGGAAGAATATACAAAAGTACAGTACCTTCATTCCACCTGGAAATGCTACGATTAATAATTTTTCAGCTTTTCCATTATTAACTGTTATTTTCACATGCATTAAAGTTTTCTATTACTGCAAAACAAGTGATTTTTTAGCATAGTAATGAAAAGTAAGAATTGTCTTGTTCCTCTTAACCATACTATTTTAACATTTTAATGGGGTTTTCAAATGAAATTGGCCTACAAGAAAGCGTAAGCTTACTACAGAACTTATTATTCTACATCCAATTCTACAGTCATTATTTTCAGCCATTAGGAATTAGGAAATTAAATGAGTGTCTAATTTGAAAAAAATTATTTTCT